GCGGGTGATTGGAATGAGCGATGCCGAGCAGGACAATGTGTTCCGCATGCTAGCGGCTATTCTCTGGATTGGAAATGTTCAGTTCACCGAGGATGACTCTGGCAACGCTGCTATTAGCGATCAGTCAATCGTTGACTTTGTCGCCTACCTGCTAGAGGTGGATGCTGCTCAAGTGAACAAAGCGTTGACTATTCGTCTGATGGAGACTGCCCGAGGAGGGCGCAGGGGTTCTGTGTACGAAGTGCCGCTGAACAGGGTCCAAGCTTCAGCCGTTCGCGACGCTTTGGCCAAGGGAATTTACTTCAATCTGTTCGATTGGATTGTAGAGCGCGTCAATCAGTCGCTGACTGCTCGAGGCTCCATCACTAATTCGATTGGTATCCTGGATATTTACGGATTTGAAATCTTCGAGAAGAACTCTTTCGAGCAGCTGTGTATCAACTATGTCAACGAAAAACTGCAGCAGATTTTCATTCAATTGACTCTCAAGGCAGAACAAGATGAGTATGCCCGCGAGCAGATCAAGTGGACTCCTATCGAGTACTTTGACAACAAGGTGGTGTGCTCGTTGATCGAGGACAAGCGCCCTCCTGGTGTCTTCGCCGCTTTGAATGATGCCTGCGCAACTGCCCACGCCGATTCCGGTGCGGCCGATCAGACTTTCGTTGGCAGACTCAATTTCCTGGCCCAGAACCCCAACTTTGAAGCTCGCCAGGGGCAGTTCATTATCAAGCACTACGCTGGTGATGTCAGTTACGCCGTGGAGGGAATGACAGATAAGAACAAGGATCAGCTGTTGAAGGACTTGTTGAACCTTGCCCAATCTAGCAGCAACGAATTCGTCCACGCGCTGTTCCCCAACGAGGTCAACCAAGATGACAAGCGTCGCCCACCTACCGCCGGTGACAAGATCAAGGCATCCGCGAATGACCTTGTGGCCACGCTCATGAAGGCGCAGCCATCTTACATTCGTACCATCAAACCCAACGATAACAAGGCCCCCAAGGAATTCAACGTCGGCAATGTCCTGCACCAGATCAAGTACCTGGGTCTCCAGGAGAACGTCCGCATTCGACGTGCTGGTTTCGCCTACCGTCAGACCTTCGACAAGTTCACTGAGCGATTCTACCTGTTGTCCCCGAAGACTTCCTATGCCGGTGACTACACATGGACTGGTGACGTGGAATCCGGCGCGAAGCAAATCTTGACGGATACCCGCATCCCTGCCGAGGAGTATCAGATGGGTATCACAAAGGTTTTCGTCAAGACTCCCGAGACACTATTCGCACTAGAAGCCATGCGAGACAAATACTGGCACAATATGGCCATCCGCATTCAGCGTGCGTGGAGAAACTATCTCCGGTACCGTATTGAATGTGCGATCCGTATCCAGCGCTTCTGGCGCCGCATGACCGGCGGACTCGAATTCATCAAGATTCGTGACCAGGGACACAAAGTGCTCCAGGGTCGCAAGGAACGTCGGAGAATGAGTCTTCTCGGCTCTCGTCGCTTCCTGGGTGATTATCTTGGTGTCGGGAATACCGGTGGTCCTGGTGAAATGATCCGCAATGGTGCAGGCATCAGCGGTTCCGATGATGTTGTTTTCTCTTGCCGTGCCGAGGTTTTGGTGTCTAAGTTTGGTCGTTCTAGCAAACCTGTTCCCCGGATCCTGGTCTTGACGAATCGTCACGTTTTCGTTGTTGCACAAAGTATCGAAAACAACCAGCTTGTCATTTCAGCGGAACGAACCGTTCCGGTTGGAGCGATCAAGAGTGTCAGCACCTCGAATCTCAAGGATGACTGGTTTTCGCTGGTTATTGGAGCTCAGGAACCCGACCCGCTAATCCACTGTGTCTTCAAAACCGAGTTCTTCACTCATCTCACCAATGTCCTGCGTGGCTCTCTGACCTTGAAGATTGGAGAAACCATCGAATACCATAAGAAGCCTGGCAAGCTGGCAACCGTCAAGGCAGTCAAAGATCCGGGTGCCGGAAACGTGGACAGCTACAAAAGCAGCACAATCCACACTAGTGCTGGTGAGCCTCCTAGCTCTGTCTCCAAACCTACTCCGCGGCCAAAGGCGGTTGCTGCTCGCCCGGTCACAACGGGCAAGCTACTTCGTCCTGGTGGCCCCGGTGGCGGCCCTTCGAAATTGTCTCAAGCTGCTCGCAGACCTGTCCCTGCCGCTCAGCCTCTGCCCCGGTCTACCCCACAGCCTGCCATGGTACCGCAAGCTGCAGCTCAGCCTCAGCCGCGCATCGTGCCCCAGTCTATGGCAGCTGCTGCCGCCGCCATGCACTCTCGGAACGAGTCGCGTAGCTCAGTGAGATCTTCTGGCTCCATGAGGGCTCCTCCGCCTCCCCCCGCGGCACCCCCTCCAGCGTCAAGAAAGCCTGCCGCAAAGGTCAAGTACGACTACAACAGCGACCGGGCCAACGAGCTTTCCATCACCAAGGGCGAAATTGTGGAGGTTGTGTCCAAGGAAGGAAATGGTACGTACCCATAGCATACTTCATTTGAATCATACTAACATGTTCTAGGATGGTGGCTGTGCAAGAACACAACAACATCGGAGCAAGGATGGACCCCCGAATCCTACCTCGAAGAAGTAGCCGTCGCTCCCGCGCCGAAGCCCGTTCCACCCCCACCTCCGATGGCACCCCGCGCAACCCCCAGCCCTGTTCCAAATGGCGTTGTAGCTGCAGCAGCCGCAAAGAGCAAGCCCCACCCTCCTGCTCCCCCGGCCAAGCGTCCCAACATGGCCGGGCGCAAACCCGCAGGCGCGCCCACTGCGCGCGATAGCGCCGTGAGCATGCAGTCAAACGACTCATCGGGCGCCAGCGGCCGCGGCACGCCCAACAGCGCATCGAACGTCAGCCTGGCAGGTGGTTTGGCCGAGGCACTGCGGGCACGACAAAGTGCGATGCAGGGCAAACACGACGACGACGATGAGTGGTAGAGTGAGCAGTAATTGTTTATGGTCGGTCGCGGTGTTGGACATTTCTGCGCTTAGCGTTGACCTTTTGTTTTTGTTTGTTGGGCCCGTGGCATGTGCATGTACAGGTCAGCGAGTCATTGTTTTTTTCTACCCTTGTCGTTACATTCTGTAGAGTCAGTTCAATATATACCGTTTCGCGAATCAAAATCATACAATATCATTCTGGATCTTAATCTACAATACCATGCCCATATGTACACTCTTGCCTTCATTAATATCAGTGAGGCATTCCACCTATCACATTATGTATGGTCAATTCTAAATTGGGCGTGGCATGCTTCGCATTTCACCACCGAGCAGCACAACCTGCTAATTTGATGTATATATCTCAACCAAAACGTCATGAAATTAATTATACTGAAACCATCTATCTAGCTGGGCATATATTGAATACATGCCCTGTTTATCGACACCAACTACACCTTTGTGATTGCATAGTGATCTGGTGGTTTAGAGCGGAATTGAGAGGACTTAGAACAGTCAGGCGTAATATACATGACTAATCATAAACAAACAATTCAAACATAGTGGACCCCTTCCGAAATGCTATGACGTGAATCTTGATTTCACAAGAACTCATCGTACTAGGGACTACTAGCCATATGCTAGAAAGGGACAAGATCATCCAAGGCCACCGCCGTCGGTCAATGTGTATGCGTGCCGATATACCAAAGCGCAGTGTACTCTCAACCGCGCAATGTCCGGAGAAACCCATGTACAGGGCCGCCGCGTACAGCCCGTCCGATCGGGATTGCCGAACCGAGCGTGCGAAGAATGCAGGCGGTCTGTAACCATGTTCCAGCTAATCCAAAAAGAGCCTTTACTGACTTTATTTGCAGCAAGAAGACGAAATGTAAGATGTGCTCCCTTGAGCAGCTTGCGGAGATTTACAGAATGACCTACCCACCAGGGAAAACCATTTCACCTCTGCATTCAGTTGTAAATAATGGCTGATAGCAAGTTTCCACACAGGTGACATGAATCGGCCATATTGTTCATTATGCATGAGAGTAGGGGGTGATTGCACCTATCCCTCCCGAAGGAAACCTCGTGAACCGCGCAAATCACGTTATGATATCCCACCAGATTCACATGTCCCGATGCAAGGTGAGCTAATGTGATCCCCTCCACTAACTGCGTACTATCGGGTTGGAGTCCAGCGCATCATTTGCTGATCTACCCACTTGGATTCCTGAATTCTCTACCGGGCAGGAGGATCAAACACTCTTCTTGGGCCATCGATCCACGGAGGATCTACCACAAAATGGTCAATTTACTGCAGAACCGAGGCAAGCAGTACCACTTGATGCTGCGACAAATTCTTCGGGAACCCCGAGGGAGTTCCCGGATTCTCAATTTGCCATATCCATATCCAACCAAATGATGGAGCATCTGTACGAAGGTTGGAATCTCTTGTATTCATTCAGCTAATTCGGTCGTCGACAGGATTAACTTGTACTTTGAAAAGATACAAGGATCTTTGCCTCTATTTCACCGTCCGAGCTTCTACGAGGAATATTTATCAACCCCTGTGGGGTTAGATCAGAGAAGAAACCGTCTAGAAGCAGAGGATGCGTTCCTGTTGAATGGGATATTTGCACTATCAAGTCGCTTCGCGACGACTGGTTTCGCGGAACCTATCCCCTCAAGAGAGCGCGGCAAACTGTATGCAGAAAACGCAAAGTGGATATTTCCCCACGTCTTTGGCAGATTTAACTCAGTCGATGCTGGCACACGTCTGAAGTGCCTTCAGGGTTGCATTCTTATGGCTTACTATTTGCTTGCGTCCGATCCAGATTCTCGGTCTTGGATGATGACGGGCCTATGCTGCAGCATGGCATATGATATGGGTTTGGACAAGATAGACGGGAAAGTCACCCCTGTCAGTACCCACGAATGGACTAAAAAAGAAGAGCAAAGGCGCGCATGGTGGGCTGCTTGGGAGCTGGATGGAGTAGCTTCTACCCTTTCTCGGCGTCCATTTAGCATTAACCGTCATCGCATGTCTGTGCATCTCCCCGTGTCCGACGCAGCGTGGTTTGAAAATGAACCTGTCAATTCTGTCCCTCTAGAGTCCAATCCGCTTAATTCCTGGAAGCGTCTGCGAGCTTCGTCGAACCAGGATGCGCGTGCCTGGTATTTGGCCAGCAAATGCCTCATGAAGACAGCGCAAGAAGCTCGGGAAGATGGCATCTCCACACTGACAAGGGATGATCTTATCAGTGCTCTTGGATGTTTCAAGCTAGCACTACCAGCAACGTTTGACCTCTCCTCGTTACATTTTGACAACGAGAATTTCACGACGAGTAATTGGGTCATAAGCACGCATCTTGTTCTGGAAACGTAAGCGAAATGCGATTATTTTTTGGTCCCATGTCTGACTGACCGGCATTTTCACAGGACTGATATTCTCTTGTCGACCACGAAGCCGACCGTAGATGAGACAGATCATTCAGTCTCACCTTGCATTCATTGGTTTATTCTGACACGTACTCTGTAGTCCAATGCGCCGCGCCCCAGAGCACCTGGGACGTCATTACGTTAGAGCTGCGTGATCCCGCACCGACAGAGGTACTTGTGCGCGTGCACGCGTCTGGGATCTGCAACTCCGACCACTTCGTCAAGGACGGCGCCTGGCCTGGCATTCAGTATCCGCGCATCCCCGGCCATGAGATCATCGGCCGTATCGCCGGCGTGGGCTCAGAGCTACTAAAAAGCCCGGCGAACAAGGACCGTTTTACCATCGGTACCTTGGTCGGCGTTGGCTGGAATGGCGGTTACTGCAACCAGTGCGATTACTGCCGGAAAGGCCAGTTTTGGACCTGCCGCAACGTCGATTACACTGGATTTACGATAGATGGTGGTCATGGGGAGTACATGTACGCTCCGTACACGGCTATCATTGACATTGCCGAGGAGGTGCTAAAGACAGCGTCCTATGCTGAACTCGCTCCTCTCTTCTGTGCCGGGGCGACTGTATTCGACGCCATAAACACGTCGAAGTGGTCTCCGGGCGATATCTGCCTCGTCCAAGGAGTAGGAGGACTAGGCCACCTAGCGATTCAGTATGCGAACAGACTAGGGTTGAAGTTAAAGGAGAAGATATCTTATTTGCTACAGCATAGCTGACTGGGCCTTTCTTCTAGGTATACGCTGTTTCGTCGGGTTCTTCTAAACGGGATCTCGCATTGTCCTTGGGGGCCTATGAATACATCGACTCGAGTAAAACCGACGTTGTCGAGTACATGTCGTCCATTGGTGGCGGGATCTCATTTTATGCACTGCGCCTTATTCCAAGGCCATCAATGCTATAATACCAGCTGTTACGAAGAATGGTAAGCCTCCACTCCTACCATTCGTGATGTGGTGCCGTTGGCTGACATCATCTCTAGGCACGATTACTTTGGTCTCGGCCACTACGGATGGACCAATCCAAGTCGATAATCTTCTCCTCAACATGAACCGTGCTACGCTACGTGGCTTCGCTTGCGGCTGTGCACCAGACATGGAGAAATGCATCGAGTACTCTGCCACCAATAATGTGAAGGCGATGATAAAAGTATTTACGATGGACGAATTCACGTAGGCATACAACGGTGTCATGGACAGCACGGCTAAATTTCGACATGTCATCGTGTTTCCATAGGAAAAAGGGGGACAGATATGATCCGCGCGAAAACCTATCAATATTTATTTATATGACAAAGTGATATGGATAAGTGCATGCACTATTATGCGGGATATCCATATTAAATTTACCTTACTTGGAATTGTAGTACATTAGAGATGGGTTTGACCATCTGAAACTACGACTTTGTTCGAAATGCCTATAATGTGAATGCTGAATAAAGGGTCCCAAGTTTATTCGCTCGGGTTCTAGATAGAGCTTTACACTCGTGGGAGTCATGTATTCAGTGATCAACACGCTAGTATATATCTCGATATAGTCAGATAATTCATTCCGAAGTCCTTCCAAACATCTCCTTTATTTCCTCGCCTTCAATTGAACCATCAAATCGTTCTTCTCCCATAGAAGGAAGGTTTTCTGTTTGTCCCAACCAACGGACTCAGGCAGAAGAGAAAGGTCAAAATTATACAGCATCTTGGCCAGAATGAGACGCATCTCATGGTATGCCAGACTATTGATCATTAGCTAGGACCATTCGAGAGCAAGACGAAGACATACTTCTTCCCAATGCAGTTCCGAGGCCCGAATGAGAATGGCTGGAATGCAGCCTTATTATCACTGGCGAACTCATCGCCAATCCAACGCTCAGGGATAAACTGATCTGGCAGTCTGAAGTTCTGAGCACTGTGGTATGTAGCCCAATGATGAACCGAAAGCGCGGTCTATTAGCATCCAAGATTAGAATCAACCATCGAAAACACAGCGGAATAGATACCTTTCCTGGAATATATTCTCCACAAACAATCAATCCCTCATCGGGAGCAATGCGCGGCAGACCAACCGGAACCGGAGGGTACATGCGCAACCCTTCCTCAATACAAGCATTGAGATATGTCATATGCTCCAGAGATCTTATATCAATATCAGAGTCTTTCTCAAAAGTCGCACGAACTTCCTCGACAATGATCTCCATCTTCTCCGGCGTCCTCAGGAGATGATAGAGCAAACCACTCAGCGCAGTAGCCGTAGTCTCAGTACCCGCCACCATGAAAACCTGCGAATTGGCATACATCTCCGCCCGACTAAGCCGGAGATCCTCCTTCTGGCTCATGACAATACCCCAAATATCAGGTTTATGCACGTGGTTGCCATCGATCCTTCTGTCCACACGTTCCCGAGAAGCCGCGTAATGCTCGATACTCTGCTGCTTCAGTTCTTTCGGGATAAGCCGTTGGACAATAACCGCCGTCCAAGGGACGTAGCGCGCCAGTCTGCGCAGGGAGTTTGTCTTAATACTGACGAACACAGCAGACACCCAACTGCAATTCCCAGTTCCAGCCAGCAGATTCAACGAGTCGCCGAATGTCAAATCGCCCATGATATCGAACGTCGTCAGGTTCAACATGCGGACCATATTTATTTTCGCTGCAGGATCCTCCCGGATGGAGTTGTGGAGATTGTCGATTAACGCGTCCGCATATCCACAGATCAAAGCCTGCTGTTCCCGCAGCGCGCGGTCCGAAAAGGCGTGCGAGAAGTTGCGCCGGAAACGAGAGTGGTCGGGGCCTTTTCCGCGGATGATATCTGCGGCGCCGTTGAAGGATGGGCCGTAGAAGCGGGTGTCTTTCTCTGTTACTGGTTTTCCGGCTGAGGCGTGCCCGTAGATCCCCTTCCAGGCGTCGCCAGTTGCGTAGCTTAGTTCATCGGGGGCGACGCGGACGACGTTGCCGTGGGTGTTGTGTAGTCCGGTGACCCATTCGAGGAGGTCGCCTTTTAGGGTATGGTAGATTTGAGGTATGCGTGATGTGGCGGCGAGTCTGGGGCCGGGGTATTTGCTGAGAGGGTTGAGGAAGATTTGGTAGTATGCATGCGAGACCAGTTTTAGTAGAATCTAAGCAGAGAATGTTAGACTGGCTCAATTGAATAAAGTTGTAGTAAACGTACCGAAGTGGCGATGACGGAGATATAGTGTTCCTGAATCAAACTTGAAGCCGATTGAAGGAGCATTTTGGATTAAGAGAATGCCTAATTGGACAAAAGGAACATACTAGAATGACAGGAAGGCAGGAAATAATTGGAATAGTATATATAACAAATTCCTTGATGATCTTGTTCGACCTCATCTGTTCATTTTGAATTGTGCAGGCTTTTTCCTGCATAGTTGTGATAGCACGGATACTTGACCCCTCGCTCGGCTTGGACATTCAAGAATATATGCCGTGTCTATAGCGCGCTAGCGATAAATCCATCGTCGAAATTCTATATTGGAATTGATCTACATGTCGCTGAAGAATCTACGTTGACGGTTAGGACGGGAGTGGGGTATGTCATGAAAACTGGGGATAAGCTCGATGCATAACTTAGCCCCTAGAAGATTACTTAGCCAATGCCAATGCCAATGCCAATGCCAATGCCATTAGTGGTTATTGGGTATTTCATAAGGTATCTTCATAGATAAACTAAGAGAAAGTGTTGACACCCCTATTCTGGTATATACCGTTTTCAATCTCGAGAATTGAATTGCCGAATATCAACCAGGGGTTATTAACACTATAGTGTGAATGCACTAGGGAGTACTCTGTAAGTGATTAATTAAGAATACGAGATTTAATCAGACGATCTTTACTCGTCTAAGAGGATCGACAGCTGGGTTGATAGGGTACTTGTTGCGGTATATCAGTGGCTTGGCATAAAGCTTTGTCGCCGGCACCGTTGGCCGAGACAGATGGAGTTATATTTAGAATATACCTGGGCAAATTGAGGGGTATGCAGTATTATTACAAATGAAATGGTTGATATGAAACGGTGGGAGTAAAGGTTATAGAATGCTTGAGTATACATAGGCTCTGCAACCCTATGTAACAGTTGTTCCGAAGACGCCAACAGTCCCCCGGTCAAGTAATACGTCCCAAGTAACCAGGAACGCTAAACAGATACGCTTTCTCATATGGGATACTGTTATCTTCTTTTGGCTGATCCCAAGATTGTTTGTTCAAAAGCGGCGTAAGCCAGAATGAAAAGATAGAATGAAAAGATATATCTCAAATGCCATACATCATCCAACACATTCAACAAGAAGAAACATCTACAAGAACTTGCTCGCAAGACTCATAAGCCCGCTAGCACCAGAACCACCAGAGCCACCCTGGTTCTTCATATACATTTTAAGAGCCATCTCGGCAGCAGAGTTGACAGCAGACTGCTTATCACCGGACTGTAACATCATTAGCAATAACCCCAACCAAAAGAAGCACAAGAATAACATACCACACCACCACCAGAACCCCCACTCTTCTCATCCCACAACTTCCCAGCCTGAGACATAGCAAGCTGAATAAGCTTATTCTTATCCAAGCCGCCATCACTGCCGCCCCCACTGCCCGAACCAGCAAACATCTTCAAAGCCTGAACGGCAGCGCCCGCACCAACAGTGCTGGAATCGTGCTGCTGGTTCGACGAGCTGCCGGAGCCGTACATGGCCTGGTGGGCATTGGCGACCTTCTGCTCGTCGACGTCGCCGCTGGTATTGCGGTCTTTGAGGAATTTCAAAGCAGTGCTGAACAGGGAGCTTTCTTCGCTGCCTTGGCTTTGGTCGTTGTGGCTGGAAGAGTGCTGGTTGGAGGAGGAGGAGTTGTTGTCGCCGTAGCCACCGCTGGAGCCCCCGTAGCCAGAAGAGGAGTTGTTGTTGCCTCCGCTGCTGTGGCCGCCGTAGCTGCCTTGCTCTTGGTTTTGGTTGTAGCCGGAGGAAGAGTTGGCGTGGCTGGAGTTTCCGTAGCCGGAGGAGGAGTTGTTGTTGTCGCCGTAGCCACCGCTGGAGCCACCGTAGCCGGAAGAGTTGTTGTTGTCGTTGTTACCGTAGCCGCCGCCACCGTGGGACTCCTGGCGACCGCCGTAGTTACCCTGGCCTTGGTTCTGGTTGCCGTAGCTGTCGTTGCGGCCCTCGTTGCGACCCTCGTGAGAGCGGCCCTCGTTAGAGTTGCCGTAGCCACCGCCACCGCCAGATCCGCCGTAGGAGTTGTTATTGTTATTGCTGTTGCCGCCGGAGAAGTCCTCGTTATTGTTGTAGTAGCTGTCGCTGGCACCGCCACCGCTGCCGCCACCGCCGCCGTATTGCTGGTTATCGCGGTAAGACATTTTGGATTAAAATGGAGAATGTGAATGAGAATAGATAGAGTGGTTTAAGGAAAAATGGAAAGGAGATATGCTATGGATTTAATAGACAGCTGAAGGAAAAGAATGGAATGGAAGAGCTTCAGCTGAGGCTGGAGGAGGGGTTGCGGGGCAGCTTTTTTGTTGATCGCGCCGATTTGGGTGATTCGCTGTGAGATCGCATTGCAGGTGGATCGAAGCTGAGGTGGCAATTACCCGAGCGGGCTTTTTATTGGATGTTTCAGAGGTTGCCTATCGAGTTGGGTTGTTTTTTCTTGGAGGATCTGGTGATTTGGTGATTTCAGTGTGTTCTGCTAATAGTTCGGAGTTTACACTACGATATGGATATGAAGCTGAGCAGGAGAGTACTGGTATCAAGATAGAGCAAGTAATAACTTGAATGAATTCAATCAGAAAATAAATTGCCAAAGTATCTTTCCTCTTGGCTCTACACGGCGATGTCCACGTATCCATGCAGGTGGATATTCGGGGCTTAGTAATCGGAGAATAGATACGCCGAGATGTGATGTCATGTGACCAGCAAGTATAAAACGTATGCGACGACTAGTTACAACACACAGTACTATTATGAGCCACAATACTTTAAGAAAAAAAGAAATGAATATAGATAGCCTCCAACACCGCAACCCAGGGTATCAGATGCAGATAAAAGGCGCAAAGAATACCACCCAAAAAAAGAAAAAGAAAGAAACAGAACATAACAGTCATAAGAGAATCAAAGAATCAACGCATCATGCTCCTCATCCGATAAAGTCCTCAAAAACCTCAACCCCCGCTCCCTCTTACTCAAAACACACCTAGGATCCACCGTCAACTCCTCCTCAGTAACCCACTCACACGGCAAATCCGTCAACCCAACCCGCTGCCCCCACATCCTGCGCTCATACCGCATGAAGCCACCGAAATGGCGATCGGTATTAGCAACCCAGATCTCGGCACCGTCAGGCGCGTAGTCAGCACCCCCAATCTCACCGAAGAAATCATGCACCTGTCGTGAACGGAAGAGCTGCGCATCGACGATGGAGATGCGATCCGCAGGCTCGGTGCAGAGCAGCGTGCGCGGGCCGCCGCCGACGGGCGAGAAGCGCAGCGAGCGGTAGCCCGCGACATCCGAGTCGATGGTTTCGAGCGGACGCCAGGTGCGCGCGTCCCAGATGATGACGGTTTTGTCTTGGTTGGAGGTGGCTATGTGGCGCATGTCTGGGGACCAGGCGCAGGCGAAGCCGAAGTCGCGGTGGCCGCGGAGGGGGTGCACGGGTCGGCCGGTGTCGGATTCGATGACCCATGCGTCGGGTGAGTCGCCGATTACGACGCGCAGACGGCCGTCTGGGGATGTGGCGGTGCAGTTTATTGGTTGGGAGAGTTCTTGGTCGGAGGTGAAGATGTTTGTTTCGGTGTCAAGGATGCGGAGGTGTTTGTCGTTGGAGGCGAAGACGGCGGTCGGGGAGGGGCCGGTGCGGCTGGGGATTATGTCGATATGGTTAGTGATGCCGTCGTTGAAGTCGGGGGTTACGAGGCCCTTGATGCCAGGGTCGGATCCACTGGTGCTGCGTAGGGCGTATTCCCCGCAGAACCCACCGGCGATTGTCAGGCCGTGTGCTGTTTTCATGGTGGATATTTTGACTGGGCTGAGGAAGCCTGAGTCGGGGTCGGGCTGGCTCAGGTCGATTATACAGCGTGCGTCGCCGGTTTTTGGGGTCCACGAAAACACCTTTGAGCTGGAGGCGAAATGGACGGTATTAGATGCAGGAGCCGACATCAGATTGCGAAGCTGGAAGTGTTCAATAGACGCTTTGTGTGAAGTGTGCATGGAGCTCCCGCGGAAAAAGGTTTCATGTTGCGGAAGGCGATTTGCATAGCCACGGTGCGAGTAATCCAAGTTATGATACGAAGTATACCAGGCGTCACGCACAGCTCGTGCATCGGACCGTGTCACCCGCAAGGTTTCTGTCCACGGGATCTGCTGCAAATCGTAAAAATCGCGTCTCCATCCAGACGGCCGAACAATCTCCGGCGGCGGCTTCCAGCTGATCATCTTCGAGAGTGGGCGGAGCTGCGGTGGAATTCGACTTTCAGAATGGAAGCCATGGGGGATGACGTTTATCGAAACCATCCAGCGCTGGATGAATTCATCAATAGTGAGATTCCGCTCGTATGCTAGAGAGAATTAGCTAGGCCTGTATTAACAGTCATAGGGCCTTACTTGATGTGTGGATTATAGATGCGGGGTGAGGTCCAGCGAAATCCATCTGACCGTCGGTGTAGTTCCCCATAGGTACGTTTGGGTGATCCACCTCAATATCTTCATAACTGATACTGTTATAAAAGTCATCCAGATTGCAGTCCGGCATTTGGGGCTCGTGCGTCGGGCGATCCATGCGCTCGTAGTAATACTCCTCTTCATCGGGGTAAAACTGGAGAAAGTCTTCCAGCTCATCATCGGATGTTGCCGCGGGCGATGGCTTGTCTTCCATGGTAGCAGACTGGTAATCCATAACCATATCCTTCTGACCATCCCCGATGTCACTGTCAGGGGCGATGGCGATATTCTGCCCGCCGGCGGTGCGGTGAATCAGGTCCCGAACGGTTGTGTCCATACCTGTGTCCATACCTGTGTCCATACCTGTGTTCATACCAGTGTCGCCACTCGGGTTCGTGCCGAAGACAAACACCGGTCCAGCCGAAGGGGTAGCTCCCCCAGGCTGAAAACCCCATTGTGGCGGCATAGGACCCACGGGATCTAAATGTCGATGATCGGGAGGACTGCCCGCATTCGTAACAGCGTTGACGACCTCCGACACGAGAAAAGAATCCCTGTGCGCAGTATCCAGGGCACGCGGGTACTGAGACACAGCAGCCAGAGCAGCAACGCCCACGTCATGGAAACGGCGATCGATCTCGGAGGTCATATTCGCCGGCGGGGCAAATCGATCGGTAGGAAGTATATTGAAATCAGGCGAGTTCCAGGCCGTCGCGTGGTCTTCTCGACCAGACAGTCCAGTACCGGAACGATGTAGAGGATTCATAGCTCGGGGTTGAACTGGAGGATATAACACATGACGCGGCGGTGCAGCGGGATCTCGCGAGCGGGCAGATGAGTCGGAGGGACGATTCGTAGAGTTACAGTTGTCGGGATGAAGCATCGCCCGCCATGAACATCCGACCCGAAACTGATAATAGCGGTCGCACGGAGGAAAATAATCCAGTAATCAGAAACCCAGTGTCTCGGTTTCCAGGATTTACCAGATCTGTCCTCTCGTGCAGCGATCTCGACTAGAGTTCAACCCCACACTGCAGGCGTGGCGTTGGATTCCAAGTCAGGGAAAAGGCGGAGAGCGGAGAGCGGAAAGCGAGAAAACGCCGGCAACCGAAGAGGGGCAGAGTAAGGAGCGGGAAAAGGAAGACGAGATCAACGAGACAATCTTATAGCGGCTGGTATTCTAGTGCGAGATGTGGGCTGATCCCAAGAGAAATAGAGGGGGAAAACAGGACAGTGCGCGGTAGACTTTTCCGTTCAAATAAGGGGAAGAAAGGGATTCGTATTAATTCTGACACTCCCATGCAGTCAGATGGAACGTGGGGAGAGAAACGTGCGAGCTCGGGGCGAATATATACATGAAAGGGCAAAAAAAGAAACGAATGGCAAAAGATGATACATCGCGAGAATATGCAAGGATTCGGTCTTAATATTCAGTCAACTGTTGTCCCGTCCATTCTAGACCTCGCTCGATCATAGAGGTGATCCGACATGGGTTAAGCATTAAGCACGTAAACTAATTTAAAGTGCATCGTCTTGATCATATATTCTCGCATGTGTCAATATTAGAATAATGCAGGGAGCACATAACATGCACATCCAACCCGGACAGCCCGGTGACTCACGCTTGGATGCTGTTGGGCACGACTTGGGCTGAAGTGACCTGTGGGAAGCCGTGGTAGAAGTACGTATTTGATAGTTCATGTTGGTTGACAGGGTTCATGATGCTATTTTGGTTACGCTGTAGCCAGTAGGATGACGATTATTTCCTCACATACAACGCGCCCGGTCCAATTCGCTGTACAAGATAGAGCAAATGCTTGAAATAGAAGAAAGCCAAAAAATATGTAAATAATCAATCGTCAGTCGTGTAACGCTCTGAACTATATTATAAGAATGTTTGAACGCCGATATGTAAATAGTACAATAAATCACGTGCATCAGGGGAAGCAAGAAAAAGCAAATAAGAAATGAAGCGCTGACGCTTTCGTTAGTAATGTGAATAAGGCTCGTACTGCGATGGATGAACATCCGTTGCAGGGGGCTGTGACCAGGCACTGCGTAGACGGCGATCTATCGAGAATATTAGAATTGACAAATCACCCCAGGACAACCTTAAGACATACCTTTTTCGAAATCGCGCCACCTCTTCATCGTGATCTTCGTACTATCAAACTCGCCCTCGGCATCGCCGTGTCCCTTATCCTTCTCTCCAGCAGTCTTACGGGTATCACCCCAACTGAAATCGTCGAACTTCCAGAACGCATACATGGGCAGAACGAAGTTCCAGATCGGAAGCGAAAGGAGGTAAATCAGCATCCACAACACATAGACGAGTCTGTGCGCAGTGACGACGATCAAAACACCCGGCAGACCCAAGACCAGAGCGAGCAGAACCAGCGGAATGACCTGGACGGGTTTCTTGACGATGGACACGACAACGACGTAGACGGTGAAGGAGATGGCGGCGGGCAGAACCAGGGTTCCGATAAGCTCGATGAAAATGACAAACTGCATGCTGAAGCAGAAGGTTCCGCACAGGTCACGGACGAGGACGAGCTCGAATAGGTTGTGGACGGTACTGTTGATCCAGCGACGGCGCTGGGAGAGGAGGACGAGGAATGCGTCCGGCACGACTGTTTTGCAGACGGCTTGTGGGACGAAGATCTGCTTACGTTTCGGGAAGGTCTTGAGCATCAGGGTGGTGAGGTAGCGATCTTCACCGAGAAGGAGCAGGTTCTTCTTGTGTAGAGTGTCCACGACATTTTCCGAGTAGTGTTCGACGATATCTGGGTTGGCGAGAATGGGCACCCAGTAGTTCTGGCCGCCCTTGGGGGCTTTGATTCGGTACATGGTGAAACATCCAGGGAGACACGTTACACCACCGAACACGGATTCGAATGATTTCGCTTGGTGATGGGAGATGAAGTACCTGTTGTGAATTAGTTACTGCGCTGGTTAATGGACAGTGGAGACTTACTCGAAGACCTGGATCATTGTTACCCAGCTGTCAGTCTTGTTGGCGATCTTGGTTTCTCCACAGAGACCCATGATTTCTGGGTCTTTCACCATGGCCGAGACCATGTGGGTCAAACTGTCTGGGAACACCTTTGTATCGGCGTCGACCATGAGAACAACCTCGTAGAAATCCGGCGCGATGCCTGTGACGTTCCACAGGCCATTGAACATCTCATACTCTAGTTCCGTCATGCGCTCGTCGAACATAACCTTCTGGAGGAAAGACATGAGAATGATCTGACTGTCTCGCTTGCCACGGTTACCAGGCTTTGACTGGGTCGACTCTTGAGGAGTTCCGCACTTGACAATCACCATCATGGGAACGCGCTGCTGCTTATCCGCCGGGATGATCGAATTATGGCCGTAGTCGTAGAACCCAGTGTAGACCTTGGCCATGTTGTGTCGCTTGGAGCCAGTAGCCACAGCCACGTAGGAGTAGGGCTCGACCTCGTCCTCGGGAACAACAGGCTCCCTGAGCATGCCTAGCACAATGTCTGGCGTGGAAAACGTTTCTCCCTTACCCTTGATAATACCATCACAAATGACCAGGATCGTTTTGTGACTGTTCGGGTAGTCGGTCATGGCAATAGAATCTAAAGTCGACCGAATACCCTCTTCACCCTCAGAGTAGCAAGTAATCAGACAAAGACTGTGGGCTAGAGGGTAGCCGAATGGCTGCCATTCAGGCGGAGGCTGAGGAACAACAGCCTCGTGAATGTAACCAGCAGGACCTAAGCCCTCGTAATCCGTCGATAGCGTGGCATAACCCGTATCTTGTTGACCCTGGCCGGTCGGAACCAAGCTAGTCCGACTGGCACCAGGATTATGCCGAGAATTGTCAGCGCTCAGAGTGCCCCCGCTACCGCTGTGGCTCAGCTTATACATAGTGCCAGGATTAGAGCTGGGCATGAGCCGAGAAGTCGAGTTCTGGCTAGCCATCGTGACATACAACGGCCTTTGCTTGCTCCCAGCGCTGCTGTTCACATTATACGGGCTGGAGAAACGAGAAGTGGTCGGGAGGAAGCTGGCGCGTTTGCTGAGGCGATCGGGAATGGTGGGTTCGGTCATTCGTGGAGCGGGTCGATATATGTCGTTGGACCAGTCTTCGATCTGCTGATTGCGAGTCCTAGCGTCGGAGGCCATACTCGTGGTCTGCGCGGCAAACCTGGGTGCCAGGAACCACTGGAAGAGCAGGGCGAAGGCGAATTTGACACCCACGATCGAGAGAATGAAGATTAGGGACACGTATAGCACCACTTTTGACGCGATACAGCCAACAGTATCAGTGTCGATGCTGCCGACTTTGATGATCTGCGCCAAGCACTTGCCGATCTTCTTCTCCTCCCCGCTTTGCAGGTAGTAAGTCAGATCAACACCGCGGACATCAGGATTCTTGCGGAGCTCGTCGAATTGTTTGGGATAGGACACCTGGCTAGTGTCAAACCAGGCGAGAAGATCAAGGTCGAGCACATTTCCGGAGTATATGGCCAGATTTCGACTCTTGTTCTTCGTATCCTCCCAGGTGTAGTACACATCCCCTTCACTGTGCAGGGTATAGAAAGGCTCACGGGCTGCTTTGCTGGTATGGCAAGCCCAGCCCACATAATATTCAACAGTCGAATTCGGTTCGGACGAACCATCCTGGTTGAAGGGCGCACAAGGGAAGTACCATCCGAGATCTCCATCGGAGTTTGTTGGAATATCGCTATCAGACGTGGCAGTAATCAGTCCCTTGCATGCACCGTTGACCTGCTGGAAGAAGAAGCTGCCATCTTGTCCGCCATACTTGTGTGGTAAGTCGTAGAGAACATTCGCATTAGCAGAGATCCCAGTGACAGCGGGGTGTTTCGAACCCGACAAGTCATATGCCTTTCCGTGGAAGATCATGTAGTTGGAACTGACTTCGTTGACCTTCAATCGAACCGGGGGCGAGGCACAAACTGTAGCCGTGAAACCGAAAGTCAGGAAACCGACAAAAGCACCGATCATCATAATGATGCTGATAAGGCCGATCTTCTCCCGCCAAGCAGTGCGCTGCTCTTTCTGTGGCATTCCACAGCATTTCAACAAAAAGTCCGGGATGAAGAATGTGAGAACTACACAATATGTAGGCCATAGCTCGGGCGGACCACTCTGCTGAATAGCCTTTTCACGTCTCTTTTCCTCCGCAACGCCTCTTGACCTCCGCGAGCCTCTCTTCTTCTTCTTCGAGCGATGTCTGCTAGGGATCCGCTCCATGGGTTTGTTGATATTACCCTGCGCGTAAAGACCACCCTTGCTCTTCATATCCATGCTGCGCGAGCTGTTTATCTCCACCTCATCTCTCTTATCCAATAACGGATCGTTTCCCGTTGTCGAGGGAAAAATACGCATGTGATTTGATCGCTGACGGTAGTGATAGTTGGGTTGGTCACGGTCGTCTTTCCTGCGCTCTGGTTTGACCATGCGCTTTTTGTGTCTCACATCCCCGCTCCGGTCCATGCGTTCTTCGTCCGTGTCCATTGCTCTCCGATGGCTGGAATGTCGGCGGCGATGCCGATGGGAGTGGGAAGTGGGGTCGTCGCTGTAAGTTCCCGAGTCGATATCCCGTCGACGGCGCTGGGATGGTTCGCGAAATGCGCGGGCTTCTTCACGCGGAGGCGAGGGTTTCCCTGGCCGCTGCGGCAAAGACATCTCCTAAGATTCCCGATGTCAGCCAATCAGACCCCAGTTGTTAGTTGGATTGAACTTACTGGCCTACTCACTTCGGTTATTTTCCGCTGATCAACAGCAAATGTGTGGATAAGACTGTTCACAATATGTCGCTTGCCGACTGAAACATGTCAAATGCGCAGACCCGGTCCTCGACAATGTGAGCTATAGGATTCGTCTTTCCGTACGAATCTTAGATTTCTTTCAGTTTTCGATATCTCTATTGACCAGCAACTAGAGTTGAGACTTCTCAGCGAAAGTGGTACGGTCGGCCTGTGCAACGGGTGGAGAATAACAAAGTCCCCACTACGCAAGAAAACGAAAGGGTCCAAAACACAGAGAAGAGCGAATGCAGCAGTAGAAATAGTAATAGCAATTGTGTCTAAGGGAAAAGGGAAGTTCTGAGACAAAGACCCTGTACGGAGTAGTCCGTACACGGGACTCCCTCTGACGCTTGACCTGG